GATGCCTGTATGACCACTGGCTTGACTCTCCCTACTTATATTTCTGGACTTATTGCACAAAATAATGACCACATAGTTGTTTGGAAGGACTATGCTTCCTCTTGTTCTTGGCTCTGGGTTTCTCTCTCTAGAAAGTGCTACTAATCTCCCTACCCCTTCCCTTTCTCTGCTAGGTTAAGGCTTCTATATCACTCAGATCTCACCTGGGCCACTACTTCCTCAAGGAAGCTTCTTTTACCATCTGTGTCAAGTAAGTTTGTGCTTTCCACACAACTGTTTTATTTGTGTGGTTCTTTGATTGATGCCTATCTTGCATTAGAACTTTTGGAATTCCCAGCTTCTGAATAGTGCTTCACACAAGTATTTTCTTAGTGCATGTTAGCTTAAGGAATCAATAAGTGGTATGTGCATTATTTCTATAAATTCAATATGATAGTTTAACCTTTAAGCAAGATTGTGACTTACTCTCTAATCACACTGAGAGACTATGAGAAAGACTATCACTCAAGGAATGGCCTGGGTAAAAGAATCTTCTTAGGAGAAACTTCCATGAAGATATTAGACTTTTGTAATTTTAGACTACATTTTCACATGTAAATGAAGTCAATCACGGATTCTTTTAAATATGTGATCACTTTCAAAAATCAATACCTTCTTAGGCCTAAACACTACTTTATTTAATATTATATGATTTGAATATCCAAATTGTTCTAAATCATTTGTGGACTCACTGTTCTCTCAAGTCGATTGATACCATCATTCCAATATTCATTTGATGACTGGCTTAGAACAGAGTCGAAGGGATAAAAACATCATTTATTTTGTAGGCTTTTTATTTTATTTATTATTATTTTTTTTTCTGAATTTTGTTTTTTAGAATAACTAGAGATTGAACCCAGGGCCTTATACCTGCTAGGTGAGCACTCTACCACACTACACCCCAAGTCCTACAACTGCATGTAAGTACAAAGATGACCATGCACACAATTTATGTAAACAAAAAAAATATTAATAGCTCTATCAGGCGGTTTTTTTTTTTTTTTTTTTTAGCTGTGAGCAAGGGAAAGCAACTGTGGTAGATGCAAATCAAGGAGGAATTTATTGAACAAATATTAAGTAACTCAAAGAATTTCCAGGAAGAGAGAAAGCCAGGCCCGGAAAACAGGCCAGTAGAGGGCAGACTGGGTAGCAGGGAACACTGTGGCCAAAACCAGGCCCTGGAATCTGGTTAGGAAGGACATCATTGTCAAAGCACCTGTCAGCTCCCACCTGACACCACTGATTGACTGACCGCTGGACTGCCCCTGGCTGCAGCCTTTGTTGCCCTGGAGACAACAGATTCTCTACTGTTGCAAGTTCTGCAGGTTGTAGATTCCTTGCACAAACTCTGGGGTAGGTGTATCTTATTTATTAAGTCTTTGGCCCATATTCTAACTACAAGAAGGTTTGCTAGAAGATTTGGTCCCTGGGCTTTCAAGATGTCCCCTCATCCTCTCCCCTGAGCTTTTCTGTCTATCGAAATTCAGATGGGGGTAGAGTTCCCCTAATTCAAAAAGGAGTTTGAATAATTAAAAAAAAACAACAAGCGACAATAGGGGAAATAGCACATAAATTTATGGTTCAACCATGCAAGGAATATTATGTGATCATTTAAATATTTCTGATTGGTGCTTAATAACCTAAACTATAATATTTGATTAAAAATGGTATGGAAATTTATATACAACATGCCCCCAAAACTTTTATGTATTTATCATTATATACAATATATTATGTATAATTATTTATCATTTTGTATCATTATTTTCTTTTATATATCCATTCATTTAGACACTTAGGTTACTTTTATCTTTGGCTATAAAAATAATGTTGCTTTGAACACTGGTGGACAAATATCTGTTCTAATCCTTGCTTTCAATTTTTCCAGGTGTATAGTCAGAAGCAAAATTGCTGGATCATATGGTAATTCTATTCAAAAAATTTTAGGAGTCACCATATGATTTTCTATAGCGGTATAATTTTACATTCTCACCAGCAGTACACAAGGGTTCATATTTCTCTACGACCTTTCTAAAACTTGTTATTTTGAGTTTATTTATTTCTTTTGTCGAATAATAGCCACCCTAATATGTGTGAAAAAAAATATTTCCTGTGGTTTGGGTTTGCATTTCCATAATGACCAGGGATATAGACCATCTTTTCATGTGCTTATTGGCCATTCATGTATCTTTTTGGAGAAATTTCTGTTCAAGGTCTTTAGCCTTTTCTATCCGCCCCCCCCCCACACCCCTAATACTGAGAATTGAACCCAGAAGCATTCTACCTCTGAGGTACATCCCAGTCCCTTTGATACAGAGCCTTGCTAAGTTGCTGAGACCAGCCTGGAACTTGTGATCCTCCTGCCTCAGCCACCTGAGTCACCGGGATTGTAGGTGTGAACCATCTTGCCTGGCTTCTTTGCCCATTTCTTAACCAGTTTGTTTGTTTATTTATTTGTTTTTGTTTTTGCATTGTTCCTTTGATTCTTGAGATAAAGTTTTTTTTTCTTACCAATTCATCCTCTAATGATTTTGAAAACATTAGAAAATAAATGAAAAAAAATTAGTAAAAAAGTACTTTTTTTTTTAAAAGAATGCAGTCATTACATCTGGTTCTACATAAGCAAGGCAGTTTCATAACGCCTCAACAGATGGTGCCCAATGAATGAGCTTCGCTGGTAGAGTTATAACAAATTCCATCAAATTAAAAATCCCACTTAGCAGATGCCTCCAACAGTTGGTGTCCTCTCTGAGGCTAATCTGTAGCAGAGACATTGTCCTTTTGGTATTTTTCATTTGTAGTGTATTTGGGCTTTTGAAACTTGAGATTTTCTACAAAATACTACATTGGTGTTTTGGTGGTAGTTTTTGTTTTGTTTCAGGAGAGCTTAGGGGCAAGAAAACAGAGAGATTTTCATCCCAGTCAAAAGGACACAAGAGAGGAAAGGTCAATGTTAATAAGCAGAAAAGGTTTGCAAATGGGACACGTGTATTTGAATTTCTTTGTAAAATGAATATAGATTGCAACATATGTATTAATTTTAATGAAAATATTTTAAATTGTTTTCATCTCACCAAGGTCACTAAAAGAGAACTCTGCTAAAAATTCTTAAAATTACTATTGTCAGAGTTTCTAAAAGCCAGTAGCTATTTATTAGAATGAATGAAGAATAAAAACAAATCTGGGCAATTCAATTCTATTGTATGAAAATATTATTCAATATGAGACTGAGATGGTATAGCAAAATACTTCATTTCATGAAATTTTCCCAGGTGCATTAGCAACCCGAATTTTTCCTTTGTACAAATCATGGAACATTCCCTATGGGAAGGCTAATGAGAAGAGAATATCATGGGATTGGAAACAGCGCAGAGGAATGCAAATAAAATCATCCAGGTTATACTGCCTCCTGGATATCTGTTACTGGAGAACTTACCACATTTCAAGTTCAACGTGTCAAAAGCAACTATATTACTTCCAACCTGCTGAATGGTAAGTCAGGGCCTTGCTAAATTGTTGAGCAACTCTGGAGGCTGAGGCAGGAGGAATACAAGTTCTAATGGCTGATATCCTATACCCATCTCTTATGCCCATTCTTAGTTGTAGTCATCTAAGTCCAGCCCCGCACTCAGTAGTCATGCAGATGGCAAATTCTTCTTAGTATAATTAAATCTTGTTTTCACTTGTATCCTTTTCATGTGAAACATTTTAAATAGTTCGTTCTTTAATCTCACGTTGAGTCTTAAATTTCGGCTTTTCTTGAGTTCTCATAATTTGGCCTCACCTTTCATATCCAACAGTGCTGTCTCTGTCCTGCAGGAGCCTTTACTCACCATGTTCTCTGCCTGCTGCCACCTCTTGCCTCCGGCCTCTGCATCCAAATCCTAACTATGGAGGTCTTGATCTATTTGCTGTTCTTAACTCCTGTGGTACTCAGAGTTTGAACTTCTCAGTTTACTTCATGATTGATGATACATGGTTTCTGGGATTTGATACCTGTGTGTCTCCATCTTTCCAGTGACGTTATTAGTTCCTTGAAGATAGTTTTAGCATTCATGGGGAACCCCATCAGTTCACCTGGGGTTCAGTCACTTCTCATCATTTCCACTGTGAATGCTCCAAACCCTCACTAGAACTGCTGAGTTATCCAAGGGACTGGCTCATTCTGCTTGTTGCACAACCCATCTGCCATCCTGTAGCCAGTGATCTTTTGAAAATGCAAATCTAATGTCAACACTCCTTTATTTAAAATCCTTCAATGGCGTCATTGTTCTTAGGCCCACAATGACTGGCATGATTTTCCAGGATCTCCTGGACAATACATTTCCTGAGAACACAGATTTCAACCCAGAAGTCTCTTCTTACTGTGTAATCTAGACCCTGACTGACTTCTTCCCAGACTGGGTCAGATTCCCATACTGGCCAAGATTTGTATTTCTTTCTTTTCCACTGTTAATTTTGTCCTCATTTATGTGATTATAATGTCTATTTCCCTTACTAAGTGTAAGCCTTATGTGAACACAAGTCAAGTCTTTTAAAAAATCATCATCATCTAGGACTTAATAGATGCTTAATAAATATTTGTTAAATAATTGAGTGCACGTTTTATGTATGTGTGTGTGTTTGTGTGTGTGTGTGTGCTTGTGTTTGTGTATATATTTTGGACTGGGGATCGAACCAAGGGGTGCTCGACCACTGAGCCACATCTCCAGCCCTATTTTGTATTTTATTTAGAGACAGGTTCTCATTGAGTTGCTTAGAGCCTCACTAAATTGCTGAGGCTGGTTTTAAACTCAAGATCCCCCTGCCTCAGCCTCCCGAGTTGCTGAGATTACAGGCATGTGCCACCATGCCCTGCTTAGTGCACTTTTTATATTAACAGCCTGTCCAAACTTAAATCTGCTCTTCAGATCTCAGTGACACTGCTTCCCAACCCAGAACAACATGAGCATTCAAAGCACTTGACTTGTATGCTGAATCCTGCTTTATTCATACATAAGTGGTTTACATGAATTATACAATATAAATATACTCGTAGCTTCAGAAAGTACAAAGAGAAGATATTTTTTCTTTGATTTCATCTGCACAATCTAATACAAATATTTACTTAGGAAAACCCCTACACAAACCAAAATTTTAAAATTTTAAACATAGGCTACATCATTTCATTGCAAGATGGATTTAACTGATCATTACAGACAATAAATTCATGCTAAGCTACAAATGTATTGCCAATGCTTTGATCATGGGCAGATATTCTCTGTTGCATAGTTGTATAACAGACCTTGGTATGGAGAATGTATTAAAAATGGCTGGAGCCATGGTGTACTGGGAAATGTTCAACAACCAGATCTTCAGGGAAAATAAGCCAAAGCTTCAATTTGTAATGTTTGCCAATTTCTGAGTTAACTACTCCCCCTGTGGTCAATTTCACACTACCAAGGTGTTTACTGAAGGCAGCATTCCAAAGCAAGGCTGACACTCTCTCTTGCAAGTCTGTATGAGTTGGGTCCTGCATGACAATTGCTGGAGCAGTCAGTATTGTAAGCAGAATAATTCTGTTGGAAAAAAAATCACTAGACTTTATATAGCTCTCTCATATAGATTAGATTTCTTGAGTTTGTAAAAATATGCAGAGAAATGGGTAAAATATTTCTACTTACACAACTATAGTGAAATGAACAATAAAATTAAAAGACAATACTTTCATAAGGTAGTTTTAAGCAAATAAAAGGAAGTCCTACCGTTAATTCTAGATCAGGGTGGGCACACTTTTTCTGTAAAAGACCAGACTGAAAAAATATGGGGGGCTTGGCAGTCCTACAAATACTCAACTCTGTCATTGTAGCATGAGAACTGCCACTACCAATCCATTAAGAAATGGACAGAATGTATTCCAATTGAGACTTCATCTGCACAACCATGTGGTGGTTCAGATCTGTTGAGTTCTGATCTAAATGAGAGTTACAGAGGTGAGAGGACATTGGTTACCCTAGTCTCATGTAAACAAATTTACAATCAGAATTCTCACATCCTACATATTTACTAAGCAAATCCTCCAAGCAGAGATTGACCCAAGCATGGACATATGGCTCTACTCTGGTCAGTGAAACAGGAGCAGAAGTATTTTGAGGGACATCTGGGAAAAGTCGTTCTGCTCTCAGTGAGCTGCTGGCCTGCCGCTTTGGGGCAGTGTCTGGAAAGGCTGTGGTAACTGGAGTCAGTACAGCCACCAGCCTGAGGCTAAAACTGATACTGAGGAAGGTAGGACCAAGGAACGGAAAGAGCCTGAAGCCTGCCCTACCTCTGGACTTTCTGTGATAAAAGATGAGTTTTCCTTATTACTCAGCTTCAAAGAAGAATGAAATTATGGCATTTGCAGGTAAATGGATGGAACTAGAGAATATCATGCTAATGAAATAAGCCGATCCCAAAATAACAAAAGCCAGATATTTTCTTTGATAAGTGGATGCTGATCCATAGAGGGAAGGCGGGTGTGTAGGGAAGAATAAAGGAATGAAGAACTTTGGATTGTGCAGAGGAGAGTGAGGGGAGGGGTGGGGCTGTGGGATTGGGAAGGACGGTAGAATGAGACAGACATTATTACCCTATATATATGTATGATTACACTACTGGAGTGACTCTGCACCATATACAGCTAGAGGAATGAGAAATTATGCTCCATTTGTGTACAATATGTCAAAATGTATTCTACTGTAAAATAAAAATTTTTAAAAAGGTAAGTTTCCTATTATGTAGTCCATCAGCAAGAGGGTTTCTATAAATTGAAGTGTCCTAATTGACTCAATTATATTTTTCCAAAATATCATTTAGTTACAAATATAATATGGAACCACAGGCTTCTCCAGAAACATATGAAGAGTATTTAATCTTTCTCTGAAAAATCATCAGAGATGGAGACTACCGTATCAAATCAGGAAAGAAAGGGTCCAGTTTTGCCTTGAATTTATTCTCTTCCCACCAGGTAAATATCCTGAAAGTACCAACCCTGCTTTGAGAACCAATTCCTTTTTGGCTCTTCCTCTGATTCAACAAAGGAGACACCGTTGGCCTCCTGTCCTGCAGCTCTTCTGCCCACTCCTCTTTCCTGCAATCTGAATCTTGATTTTGTTCAGCTACCAGGAGACTGCACACTTTGAAAAAGCTGGACCTTTGCCCAACCCCACGGAGGATCATCTTGATTAATCTAAGCCAGTCATGGAAATACCATTTTCCTTGCCAGTAAATGACTTAGGAATGGGCATGTCTGCAATTTTAAGCTGTGGCTGTGGGGAGTTTTTCTCAGCCACACACACACCAAAAAAAAAAAAAAAGGATCAAAGGGAGCCTTTGCTTGTTGTGAAGTACCTGAAGCTGCTGCAGCCATCCTGCAGGCCTGTGATCAAAAACCAACATGATGAGCAAAGGGCAGCAGAAGTGAGGAGACCCTGCTTCAGCGATGGCAGGAGACCCTGCTTCAGTTATTCCTGGCATGACTAAGCCTGGCATAACCCTGCCTTAGCCTTTTATGCTGTAAGTGGTTATTGAATTGGATCTTACGTTCAGTGCTGCTGGAACAAAGAGGTTAAGAGGATACAGGGCCATGTTTCTACACCTTAAACCCTCTCTGAGGTAGTCTATATACCATGCACTGGTAAATGATTTTACAGAATCCATAAAGGTTGCATGGCTACACACTAACTTAAAAACATTAAGCAAACTTAATGAATAAGACAAGATGTCTTACAAATTTGGACAAATTAAAATTTGTAGATACTTTAAGTGGTAGATTGTTAAATCAATCCGTTTAAAACTTGAACCAATGATTACAGTAAAAAAATTATATATATCACGCTAAGAGAAATAAGCCGATCCCAAAAAATAATGTGTCTGAATGAATTTAGAAAAAGATATGAGATAATTTGACTTTTTATCATGTTTTTACTCACATTATCTGGTAGTTCGGTGTTATTTAACTCAGTATTCTTTAATTATCAAGGCAAAACATGAGAATCAGTTTTAAGTAAAGTGATTTGCTCTTTGTACTCTGTCTTCACAAATAGAAAATATTTAAAGTTTGTTAAAAAGCCTCTGATGTTGCATCAATTTTCCCTCTTTTATCTTTGAAAGTGAAATATTTGTTGATGTTTTTTTTGTTTGTACACATTTTAGAGCCCTCAAAATGTGGTGACAACAACCTTATATTGTATTATTACAAAAAATAATACAGCTAATTGTTATTAGTATAAGGAACACAGTACATTCTGTATGTACTCCAATAAATAATAAATTGTTTACATTTATTTTAATGGTGATTCATAGAAATTCAAGGAGCATATAGTATGTTTTTATATTTATTTGATTTAGGTCTTTAATAAAACAGTCTTTGGAAGGGCATATCAATAATCATATTCTTACAAAGTTAAATAGAATACTTCATTTTTGCCAAGATAATATAAATTTACCATCTTTATACTTTTAGTTTTAAAGAAAACTTGATCTAGAAAAGATGAGCAAAATAATGAGAGGCAGGTCTTAGTTATCATCTTTCTAATGAAGTCACTGTTCATTTTTAAGTACAAGTAATCACTACACCAATTTTCTCTTTGAAGATTTTTTTGTCAATGCAACCTGGGAGAGTAAATGAACTCTCATTGACTTTTGATTCTGCCTCCAGCCCCCATCCCGTCGTGAAGCATATTCTTTAGTCCATTGTGTTAAAAATTTCAAATCACCATTTTTAGTAGAGAAGGAAGTGAAAAGCTCTCTCTAATATTCCAATCATGAAGATGCCACTCACCTCAAAGAAAATAGTACAAAATTGCCATAATAAGCTTAGTTACTGCTTTTCTCTTCTCCAAGTTTCTTGCTCATTCACAATTCTAGGGGAAAGAATACCCTTCCACAACACATTGTGAACATGTTTTTTGAGAACTATTGCATGTCTTTTCTCTTCTTTTGCTTCTACTCATAACACTAGGAAGGACGTAAAACAGATTCAAAATTTCTGATTTTGGATGAGATGGCGACTAGCATACCCACCCTTCTGACCTATTCTCACCTCAGCACTGGTCACGTCCCGGGGTGAGAAGGAGAGATTGATGGATGTCAACCATACTCAGAAATCAACACAACAGTATGAAACAGCATCACAGAGGGTGCTGGGGTCTGTGATGGAGGAACAGCATTGGGGAATGAGGACTGGAGTGGGAGAGCACCAGGGATCACAGAGGAGGTCGATGGTTTGAAAGAACTCTCTCATGGGGTGAAAAAAAGAGGCCTCAATAAATTTGAAATAATCAACATCATAGGAGATATGTCCTCTGACTTCAATCAATTAATTTAGAAGTCAAAACCAAAAACAATCACTTAAATATTTCATGTGTCTCGCCACTAAAAAATATTTTATCAAACCCTTAGCTTCAAGAGAAAAATCACAAGGTAGGTGATGTGAAATTTATCTCATACTGATAATGAAGGTCACTTATTGATCATATAGGTCAAAATGTACAGTAAACAGTTAAAGTAATATTTAGGAAGAATTACAGAATTAATTTGCCATTAAAGAGTCATATGTTAAAATAAATGAGTTAAAAATTCATTTCAAGAAGACAGAATAAGTTATAGAAAAAAGCAATCAGGAGAAAAAAATGTGGATAAGGGGGGGAAATACTATTGAAATACAGAACAGAAAAAAAATTGAAACCATTACTAGAACCAAAATCTTGTTTTAAAATGACTAATGAGGTAAATACACTTATGACAAAAAGGAAAAACGTAAAATGAGAGGAGAGGCAAATAAATAAAACAAAATTCTCTGACTCTCAAATATTTAGTTAATAAAGTTAAAATGATTGAAGACCGTGGGATCTGGTTATATGGCTTGTGAATATAAATAAGTTTCATTGTGAGGCTTTTCACCAAGACTTACTGTATCTAGTTCTTATTTCCAAAATTATATTTTAATTATCAATAAAATCCATGATCCTTATTATTATTTTAGGACAAAAGCAGTGCCTAAAATAAGAAACATTCGAAGCTGGATGCAGTGGCTTATTCCTGTAATCCCAGCTACTCAGGAAACTGAGGCCATTCAAGACCCAAGTTTGAGGCCAATCTGTGCAATTTAGTGAGACCCCATCTCAAAACAAAAAGGCTGAGGATGTGGCTCAGAGGTAGACCACTCCTGGTTTCAATCTCCAATATTGAAAAAATAAAAATAAATTAATAAACAAATAAATCACACACACACACACACACACACACACACACACACTACATAAAAACAAACATCCCAAGGAGGAAAAACTTTGCATAAAAGAAGTTTTTAAATTACTAAAAGGTAAGTGGACTAGGGTGGATAAAACCCCACTGTTAGTGAACAGAGTCATCTGCCTAGAGAAGAGTTCCAGGAACGTAGTACCTGGGCACTCAGGTTACTAAACATCTTGCAATAGGGAGCCCAAGGCCAAGAATAGCTTATCTACTATGTTAGTAGGTTGCCATTGAGGATAACTTAGAGAATGGCCCAGGAGTCCCCCACTATTTTGTTCCTGGCCTAGACTTTTTCCCACTACATTACCATCTTTATGAGGAATTATGATTTTATAGAAAGAGCTCCTATGCTTGCTGATGGGCAGTGGGGGGGATTGGAGGAGGAAACAGATATTTCCAGAGACAGTTTGCCTAAAGAAGAACATAGAGATTGGGCAAGTCAGTAAAGTAAGAATCAAGAAAACTAATATTTATTTGTCTATTACCTCTTATATCAGGTCACAGGTAGTAACTTTGCATATGTATGCCAATTATTTTCAAATGATACCAATTTTAAGAAACTTCTGTATTTGGCCCATAGGCCTCCTTCCCCACACCTATCCCCTTTGTTGGCTTTTGGAATTAGTTCCCACATAACCTTCTAGGAGAGATGACTATAAAGATTGGGATCGCTTTTGTTTTCTTTTGGATATCAGATTGCATTCATTTGAATGTGACATGAAGACTGAAACTGCACATCATGAGTGATATATGTTAACTCATTTAATTCTTACAACACTAAGAAGTAGATAATTCTCTTTCTCATTTTATAAGTGAGGATATCAAGGCTCAGAGATAGGTATACGGTGTTTTCCCCAAACTACTTGGATTTTAAATGGTGAAACCAGTTTCTAACACACACCTGATGCCAAAGTTTATGACAGTACATGGCACTAAACAATTTTCAAAGAAATAATATTAAAGGACTTCCTTTGATTAGGGGCACAGGTGTCCCAGAAGTAGGTTATGTTCATGGCTGTGTTGATAGAGCTAATGTTACGATTATTTTTGTGTTTTGTTCCAGAATTACATTAAAACTTCCATCTTACCTCTTGCTTCTGTTCTGGTAAATTCTATCCCAACACTTGAACTGTAGACTCATACAAACCTAAGGTCAAGACCCGGACTCTTTCATCTACTAGTTTTATGGCCTCAGATAATGCATGATAAAACTTCAGTCATGGAGTTTTTGTGGGAATTAAGTGAACATTCAAATAAGAGTACCCAGAATAGAGAAAACTCAATAAATGGCTGCTCTTCTACATCATTCTCTCCTTAGAAGCAGAGTTGCCCCCACCCAGAAGGGTGCCCAGGTGCAAACAGTACCACACTCAGGTCATTCACAGACTCCTGTCCTGTGGGAGCTTCCTGAGGGAGACAGAGGGAAGGGGAGGCAGAGCAGAGCCCCTCAGCCCCTTGGTCTGCACAGCAGACACAATGGATGTGCTCTGTTATCTCTCATCCATTGTCTTGGCCCTCCAGGGGGGAAGGATTGAGAAACAGAGGAGGGTAAACTTCAGGTGGCACAGGAGTCTGTAGGAAAGGGGAAAATCTACAAAAAGGGCAAGAGCCAAATTACCAGCTTCTCAATTTATCCTAGGGTTCCTTCCCCTCTCTTCATAGAGCAATTAGTTAGGAGCAAATTGAACTTTATACATGGAATCAAATTCTTCATGCATAAAAAAAAAAATACAAAAACCTTCCTTTTCCAGTAATATCATGATGAATCTCCTTTTAAGATACTCTTTTGCAAATCTTGAGTTAATCTTTTCAAAAACTTGAGGATTTTGTACACTGATTTTTCACAAAACCTGAGCTCTCTTTTCTACTTATGTATCTAAAGATCATGATCTGTTTTGACATTTTGTGTGGCTTTCTAAGAATGGGCGGGAAATTGAAAGGATCTCTACATAAAAGTAACTAAAATGAAGTTTTAAAACCAGAGGTCTTGATTTTCTTATCTCTCTCTCTCTGTCTCTTTCTTTCTCTTACACACACAGCTTACTGAATACTTAGAACTTGACTGGCAGAGAGCTGGGCACAACATGCGGGAAATCCCAGTGGCTCTAGAGGCTGAGGCAGGAGGGTCACAAGTTCGAAGCCAACCTCAGCAATTTATTGAGGCCCAAAGACCCTGTCTAAAAAAAAAAAAAAAGGCAGGGGATGTGGCTCAGTGCTTCAGTGCCCCTGGATTCAATCCCTGCTACCACAAAACAAAACAATAACAACAAAAACTTGCCAGCACTTCAAATATGTTAATCATTTTCTTATAACCGCCCTGCAATGTGGGTTCTTCTATTGTCCCTCTTTAAATGAGCAAGGCCCTGAAGACACAGAGAAATTGGACAAACCATAGACCTCTAGGAAGATGTGCACATCTAGCTATGGCATGGAGCTTGGAAGAACTTAATTAGGGCACATGTTTGATAGAATGCTCAGCAGCCCTGATTACTCATGGTCCAGATGTAAATCACTCCACTTTTGTTTTAATCAGAGAACTTAAAGTCACTTAATCTCTCTCACCTTTAAATTACTTTGGGCTTTGAGGAAATTAAGGGAACCTCGCCATCTGGTGGCTACTCCCGGTGTGTGTGACAATAAGGTGGCCCCTTTCTGATCTCCAGGAGTGCCAAGAAAAAGCTTATGTGGTGCTAAGACTTCACTTGTCCAACAGCTGAGCTCCTCAGGGGCCAATGTGTTTTAAAACACTTTATTTTGCCAGGGTCTAGACTGATAACTAGAGGAGAAGATCTTTCACAATTATTCTAGGTTTGATGGGACAAAGTCTCAAAAAGAGGCCAGAATTCCCCTGACCTTGTTTCTTAGTCGAAAAGATCAGTATTTATGCCTTTTAAGAAAGGATTCACAGTTGGCCAGAAAATTATCACTCTAGAATATTCACTCCATAGTTGCTCTCCACGTCTTGGGCTTTAGTTTCTAAAGCAAAGGAAGGAACATGCAGGCATTCCTTGTTTAAACAATTTATGAAATTAAAAAGTTGTATGTGAATTGAATTTTTGAACTTCTAATCATAATGATGACCTGGGTATGCCATTTTCTTAAGTATTTAATTCATAAATCACTGCTTTTGAAATTTTGATGAACGTGTGTGTACCCTGCTAGCGTATCAGAATCACTTATGGAAATTAAACTATAAGCATACATACACACACACACACACACACACACACACACACACATACACAAACAAATCCCTGGGCCTGCTCCAGAGATTCTGATTCGGTATGTTTGTGATGAAATCCAGGCATCAGCTTTTTAAAATACAGATAAGTGGTGACCTTGGGGGGACCAGTGCCACTACACTACCTTTGCTGACCAACACGAAAACAGCAGATAAAGAAACTTGGCCATTGGCAGAAAAATGAGATACTGTTTCACTCATTGGCAAACAAGAAGAAAAGTAGTAATCTTCCCTTCTGGTGGTGACGTGGGGACCACGCATGGTATGTCACTCTCTGCTCTTGAGACTGTAAACCACTGCAAAAGATTTAAAAAGTAATCAGTTATTTTTAACATCTAAAATGTTGAGGCTGCAAGTATAGTTCAGTGGTAGAATGTGTACTTAGCATGTGCAAGGCCCAGGGTTCAATTCTTAGCACCACCACATAATAAACAAAAGATAAAATTAGATTGCCAATTTAGGACCCCGAATATAAGGATCAATGACAAGGAAGTTTATTAGAGCATTATTTGTAGTAACAAACAACAAAGAAGAACCTAATTATGGAATTTTATGATCTATGCTTTCAATCGAGTATTGTATAATATTGAAAAAGAACCAATTAAATCTGTATATATTGCTTTAGAAAAGTATCTCTATATTATATATACTATTAACTCAATGAATTGTTGAGGATATTTTGTGTGTGTGTGTGTGTGTGTGTGTGATCCTTGAGATTGAACCCAGAGCTCTTGCATGCTGAGCATCACTCGACCACTGAAGGATGTCCCCAGTCCTTTTTACTAAATTAATTAATTCATTCATTAATTTGGCATCAGGGATTAAACCAAAAGGCGCTTAACCACTGAGCTGCATCCCCAGCCCTTTTTTATTTTTTATTTTGAGACAGGGTCACTAAGTTGCTTAGGGCCTTACTAAGTTGTTGAGGCTGGCTTTGAATTTGTGATTTTCCTGAGCCTCAGAGATTACAGGCCTACACCACCGCACCCACCTCCATTTTACTTTTGAGATAGGATCTAAGCTGCCTACAATGGCTTTGAACTTGAAATTCTCTTGCCTTAGCCTCCTGAGCAGCTGGGATTATAGACCTGTTCCACTGCGCCCAGCAAGTTGCTGAGTTTTATACACCTACGTGCATATATACACATATATGTATATGTTTCCCACTTACAGAAAGAAAAAATTAATTGGGAGTAAGGAGAAAGATGTGAAAGGATATGCCATTTGACATTGGATCCTTCTGGGGGAGGGGTGCTGGTGGATAATTGATTTTAAGTTTTTCTTCATAATATTTTTAATTTCTACTAATCATAAAGAGCATAAATTTCTCTTGCAATTTACAAGAGAAATTAAATAAAACTTTAAAAACATTGATTGGGCAAAGAATAATAAATTTCCATCAAAATTGCTGGTTTGGCATGATTCCCAACATCATTTGCATATGGTTTAAGTTGTAAAATACTAATAATGTATGTGTAAGGTGTGAAAGTGATGCTGAAGAGAATCAACACGTAAGCCCATCAGCAGACTAAGAACAGAAGCTTCCCAGACCTCAAATCCTCTAGTGAAATCTCAATGCATTCACTCCCTTCACCCTGTAATTGTGCATCCCTCATCCTGGTGATTTTCTTTATAAATTCATCATACATAAGTATCCCTGAACAATTAGTGTTTAAAAAATATTTCTGAACTTTGTATGAATGGAGTCACTTTATGCTTATTATTTTTGAAACTTTATTCAACCTTATGATCTTGGTCAGATTGATGAATATAGCTGTAGTTTCTTTTTCCTGTTGCATAATATTTCATGAATGGTCTACTTTCAGTTGTTATTTTAATGTTAATGTTCCCAAGTTTGTTTCCTTTTTTCCCAGGTATCACTGCAATGGACATTCTCATGGTTGCCGTTATTCATGTGCCAGTTTTTCCAGAGAATATATTTAGGAGAAGAGTCATTGGGTTGTAGGCTTGTACATGATCAATGCTATTAAGGAATGTCAAATGGTTTTCCACAGGGATTGTACCAATTTCTCTCCCATCTGTTCTGTATAAAAATTCTGATGCTGTATACTCTCACACACACTTGTGCATAAGGCTTTTAGAAATTATTCATTCATTCAACAATGCCAGACAATGTTCTAGGTATAGAGGATATAGCAGGAAATAAAATACACACACAAAAAAAAACACGGCCTGCATGGAAATTTCTAATGGGGAGAAAGATCATAAATAAAATAAAATAAAGGTATATTAGAGAGTTATGTGTAAAGAAGAAAGATTGAAAAAGCAAGAAAGGAGATAAAAGCCTCTGGATGTTGAGGAGGGTTTGCAGATATGTATAGGGTGGCCAGGAAGGGCCTCACTGAGCAGGTGACTTTTGAGTGAAGACCTGTTGAAATTGAGGAAATAAGCCATGCAGATGTTTGGAGGAAGAACTTCCCAGGTACAGAGAAATGGAAGTTAAAAAACATGGATGGGGCCAGGTGCAGTGGTGCATACCTGTAATCCCAGCAGTTCGGTAGGCTGAGGCAGGAGTATCTCGAGTTCAAAGCCAGCCTCAGCAACAGCAAGGCGCTAAGCACCTCAGTGAGTCCCTCTCTCTAAATAAAATACAAAATAGGGCTGGGGATGTGGCTCAGTGTTTGAGTTTCAATCCCTGGTATCCCTACCTCCCTCAGCCCCCACCAAAACAACAACAACAACAACAAAAAAAACATGGATGGAGAATGCCTTCTTGTTGGTGTATCAGCAAGGAACAAAATGTTGCTGCAGAGCAGTGAGGGACAGGGAGAATTTCAGGGGCATAGGGTGAGAAAGTAAATGATAGTACATCATGAAATGGTTATAAATCAACAGAAGGATTTTGGAAAACCAATTTTTAAGTCAAAGCCACAATTTTCACCTTGTAGCAGAAGGGAATCCATCGAACTTGGTTGAGCAGAGAAATGACATGACTTGGGTTTTAACAGGAGCCATCTGGCTGAGATTTGATTGAGCAGGGCAAAAGGAGAGAGATTGGTTGAAGGGTATTGCTGTAATCCAGGCTAGAGATGTCGGTGGCTCTGGTCAGGATGAAGGCAATAGAAATGGTGAAGTTAGGGCCCAGAGGATTTACAAATGGATCATATTTGGGTGTGTTAGGTGCAGGACAGGCTGAACTAAGTTGTCTGCAGGGCAGGCTGAATGAATGTTAGCTGCAGGATAACCCACGCACTCAAACCCCACTCTGTCTGGTCCTTTATCACCTGTTTGCATCAAGTCTGAACACTCAACCCACTCAAGGTTGAACACTTAACCCCCACCGATCTGGTGCAACAGAAACCCACATCTGACCCCTGCCCCGTCTGCCTGAGGCAGAAGATGATGCTACTATATGATCCAATCACTACGCCAACAAGCAGCTTGCAGACCCAGAGACCCCATTAGATTTGGGCTATAAAAACTCCTTCCTGCCGGGGGGGGGGGGGGGGGGGCCCTCTCTCTTGCTCTTGCTCTTACTCTCTTTCTTCTCTCTCTCTTTTTCTCCTGTTTTGCACTGCTTCAATAAAGATCTCTTGGTCGCTCCAAGTGTTGTGGTCACTTTCCTTTCAGGGTGAATAAAGAGAAGTCAAGGGTGATGACAAGGTTTTGCTGAAGCAACAGGAAGATTGAGATTGTCATGAGAGATGTGTGGCTAATGGAGAGGCAGATTTCAGAGGCCATGCCAGAAGTTCATTTTGGACATATTAACCTTGAAAACCTTGCTAGAAATACAAGTAACAGAAGTAAAACAGGTGACGGGATTGTTTCCGGAAGCTTGGTCCTTGACCTCAATGCCAATCCAGGACGCAATTTTGGGGAAAAGGAAAAGGAAAAGGAAGTTTTATTATTTTGCTGGCAAAGGAGAAACACAGGGGACTCCTGTCCCAAAGGCTGTGATTCTGCCCATCATTAAGAACAGAGGGCTTTTAAAGAGGTGTTTCAAAGGCTAGACACATTCCATGGGTTCTCTGTTGGAGTTGTAATTCACTTGTTAATTTGTGAGATAGTCATTTCTGAGATCTTCTGGTACCATGCTCTGGATTACGGTTCCTATGATGGGTGTGAACTCCAGGACAGATAACTCTGCCTAAAATGGGGAAGAAAGGTAATCCTGTTTCCCCTGAGATTAGGGAGGGGGAAAGATCGGGGAGGAGCAGGGAGAGAGGAAGAGAAAGAAACATGTCCATTTGAAAAGTCAATTGCTGTGGCAAATCAGCAAGAGCTACATTCAGATCACAAAGTGGACTACTGTTATATTTTTCCATGGTCAATTTTGACATTTCATTTCTATGGAAAAATGGATGATGACATCTCCAAGCTGCATCCTGCTGAAAGGGGGCAAAGTTTTGGGAAGTAACCCAAAGTCCTTATTCTCTATCAGGTGGGAGGTGGACAGTTATGACTATTCCGTATCAGAGCGGTTCAGAGGTCCACAATGGGAGGTGGCAGGTGACTGGACAAGTCATACCTAAGGCAAGGATCATGCTATGAGATGACAACAATAAACAAAGACAGCAAAGCATTACTTATTTTGTAAACAATTACCAAAAAGCAATTTTATTTCAGCCAGTCTCCGAAACCCATGAAGACAGTAACTCATAATCATAACAGTGAAAAACAGATCAAGTTTACCAATGTAGGAGGTTAGGAAGATTTGTAGGTCTATGAGATCAGGCTTAAATTAACTCAGGACAAAGAATATCATTATTATCAGGCACTCCACACAAGGACCCTTCCTTTATAGCCTCCACTTTTGCTTACTTTTGGGAGGGCTGACACAAATGTACATCTTATTTTTTTAACTTATTATATGATTCTATTTACATGGAATATGCAGTTTGAGATAAAACCCTAGAGCAGAGAGCAGGCTAATGGTTGCTGCAGGGCCGGGAGGAGATGGGATGGAGGATATCTGCTTGCTAGGTTGAAGGTCTCCTTTGGGGGTGATAAAAATGCTTCCGAACTAGAGAATGGTGGTGGCCATGCAAGACTGCGAACATGCCAATTGCCACTGAACTGGACATTATAAAATGGTGGAGTTGTGGCGCATGCCTGTAATCCCAGCAACTCAGGAGGCTGAGGCAGGAGAATCACAAGTTCAAAGCCAGCCTTGGCAACTTGGTGAGGCTCTAAGCAATTTAGCAAGACCCTGTCACCTCAAAATAAAAAAATAAAAGAGCTGGGGATGTGACTCAGTGATAAGTGCCCCTGGGTTCAATCCTCAGTACAAAAAAAAAAAAAAAAGGTGAATTTTATGTTATACAAATCTCACCTCCATTTAAAAAGCACAGAAAAATGAAATGATAATCAAAAAGTTCTAGATGAATAGCCAGTAATTTTTAATTTGTCACAATTTCATTGAATTTTTGATGGTCATAAACTAGTATTTTTTAAAAAATAACACATTAGCCAGGCATGGTGATACATGCCTGTAGTTCCAGCTACTCAGGAGGCTGATGCAGGATCACTGAAGCACAGGAGTTCAAGATTACAGAGACCCTGTCTCAAAAACAACAAAAATCATTAAAAGTTACAAATGAGGCATCAATGTAGCTGAGGTTCTCTAATATGTTCAGTTGGCAAAGCACCTAGTAGAGTTTACAGTAATCAAGAAGTGTTAAAAATGCTTTTAATTTGTATAAAGTGCAAAGAGACTACTGAGAAACATATGAAAGCATATAAAATGGTTGAAGCTAATGTACATATACAGGGACAAATGTACATCTTAAGTTACATTAAAAAAAAAACACCATTGTTTTTCCTTTTAAGTGTCCATGTAGGACTGTGCTCAGGCTATGCTCTCCTGCCAGGTGTTTAAGACCAAATTGGTCAAAACTGACATTGTTCCTATCTACTCTTAAGAGCCAGCTGAGATTCCTCTGAGTTTACTCTTGGTGATGTCTGTGAAGCCTCTTGGCTCCATTAGCTTTCCTCTACTAGTGGTGTCATCTGCCATGATGGGTTATAGTCTTTGCTGACCATATGTGGCTTCTCTTGGAACCATCAGGGATATTTTGCTCTCTAATGACCCTCCTCTTTGCAGAATGTGCATTGGTTGGCTTCCTGTTCTCTAACGTTCTCCCGATCTCCCTGATCAGTTAACTCTGGTGGCTCACCAGAGTTGCAGGGGACAGAGAGGGGTCCTGTCATTCTCTGGGTCCTGGCTGACCTTAGAGGGTCAGGGCCAACATGTTGGCTGCTTTTTCCTTGGCCATTTTACTTCCTTAACTTTGGTCATCAAGTTTTTGATTCTAAATACCCAGCAAGCCAGTTTCACTAGTCTTAAAGAGGGAGTAACAGGCTACAACTTCAATATCTATAATTTGACAGTTACCCCTTTCATTCAATTGTGGCTAGTATTGGTACTGGTTAGTATTAGTAATAGCATTATATACTATCTGTCCTATAGATGATGGTTTATTATCTTAAATTAACCCAGGTTCTTCTTTCTTTTTTTTTTTTTAGAAGTAGTACCTCTGAAAAAATACTAATAGGCAACATCTATAAAGTTTACAGGAAAAATACAAAATGAAATGAACAGAGAAAAGACATATTCAGTTTATGTAATAGATATGAACCAAGAAAAATTATTATAATTTTGAACCTTTACTTAATTATATAATACATCCTCTATTTGAAACCACAATAATATTTACAACAGAAATTAATCTTTTGAGCACAACTTTAAATGAGCTGAAGTCTAGTCTATTTTGAAGCCATTCTAACATGGAGTAAGGTGGGAGCAGAGCCTTATCTCAGGTAAGGTGGGGGTCTTCACAAATAACAATACAACATTACATCTGAAACATGAATCAAACAAAGGCTAAGAGAAATTTTAACTTTCTTTTTGTGAGAAAATTTCTTAATTCTAATGTCATTAAACTTACCAATGAGACTCTGTTTCACTGTTTATGCATTTTTCATACTGTTTAAATAAGTGTATATCTCCCTGTGTGTAATCAGTATACATTCCCAATGCCCTGCTTCCTATCCCTCTAACAGTGATTTACAGTTTTCATTCACAAAGTCTCATGTGCAAAAGATGACAAATGCTAGCGAGGATGTGCAGGAAAGGGTACCCTAGTACACTGTTGTGGAAAACTGTGAGGAGAATCCCAAAAAACTAAAAATAAAATTACCATATGATCTGGAAATCCTACTTCTGGGTATGTACCAAAAAGATTTGAAGTCAGTATGTGAAAGAGATGTCTGCACCCCATGTTTACTATAGCACTATTCATAATAGCCAAGGTACAGAATTAACCTCAGCGTCCATCAGAGGATGAATGGGTAGAGAAGATGTGGTATACATACATAATGGGACTCCATTCAGCCTTAAAAAGGAAGGAGACTCTGTCATTTGTGACAACATGAGTGGAATTAGAGAATATTATGCTAAGTGATATAAGCCAGACACAAAAAGATAAATACTACATATTCATACTTATATATGAAATCGAAAGCAACAGAACTCACAGAGGTAGAGGGTAGAATGGTGGCTTATCAGAGGCAGTGAAAGGGGGATGGAGATGATGGTCAAAGGGTACAAAGCCTTCGTCAGGAGGAATTTAGGGGGTTTTGTTTTGTTTGGGGGTATTTTTTGTTCTTTTTGGTTTTTGAGATCTATTGCACAGTGTGGTAAATAGAATTAATACTAGTGTATTGTCCATCTCAAAATCACTCAGTAATTTCAAATAATCCTACCCCCCAAAATAGTACTTGAGGTGTTAAGTATGTTAATTAGGTTGATTAAATTTTTCCACGTTGTCTTAAAAATTACATCATCTTGTACCCCATATTCTTAAAAATTACATCATCTTGTACCCCATATTCATTAATATTCTTAATGGTCAATTTATAATATACATCAAAAAATAGATTAAAAAAGTGTTCTGTGGGCCAGAGCACTAGCATCAACTGGGAATTTGTTAGAAATGCAAGTTCTTAGGCCATAGGCCAGGACTACAGAATCAAAAACTCAGGGTGGGTTCTAGAAATCTGTTGGACCAAGTTCTCCAGGTGATTCTGATATTGACCAAAGTTAAAGAAGCACTAGCTATTGTAGTACTTACAGGAGGAGTGCATCCACCAGGGGGCACAGTAAGGGTTCCACTGTTGGAAGATAAGCTTTCCACTTATCATTTTATGTTCCTCATGCTTTTGGTGAATATGATATTTAAAATTATAATTATGAATGAATGCTCTCTAATTGTACACACTAAGGGGACTCACTGTGATATTTCCATACATACATAGAGCAAGCATTGATCACATCCATCACCCTTCTTTTGCCACCCCTTCCCAGTTCCTAATAGCTAATTCCCTTAGCTTCTTGCAATTTGTTTGTTTGTTTTTTAATTTCTACATATGAGAAAAAAACACATGATACCTGTCTTTCCTGTGTCTACCTCATTTCACTTAATGTGATACACTCCAATTGCATGCGTGTTGCAAATGACAGGATTTGTTCTATTTTATGACTAAGTAACACTCCATTGTGTATACGGATCATATTTTCTTTATCCATTCACCTAGGCAGATTCCCCTCTCTTGGCTATTGGAAATAGGGCTGCAATAAATAAGGATATGCAGATTTAATTTCCTTTGGGTATATACCCAGGAATGGGATAGCTGGATTATATAGTTCTATTTTTAGTTTTTGAAGAATCTCCACACTGTGTCTCATAGTGAACTAATTGACATTCCCACCAACAGTGTATAAGGGCTCCTTTTTCTCCACATTCTCATTGCCATTTGCTATTTTTTGGTTGTTGTTGAGTAATAACCATTCTAGCTACGGTGAGATGGAATCTCATTGTAGTCTTGATTTGCATTTCCCTGATGGCTAACGGTTTTAAGCATTTTTTTTCATATATTTATTGACCGTTTATATTTCTTCTTTTGAGATTTATCTCTCCTGACCATTTGTTCATTTTTAATTGGATTTTGTTATTGTTGTTAAATGTTTTTGAATTATTTATATATTCTAGATTTAATCCTCTGTGAGATGAATAGATGGCAAAGATTTTCTTCTCTTTTGAAGGTTGTCTCTTCACTTTGTTGATTATTTCTTTTGTGGTGCAGAAGCTTGTTAGCTGGATATAACCCTATTTGTTAGTTCTTGCTTTTGTTTCTGTGTTTAGGAATCCTGTCCAGGAAATTGTTGCCTGTGCCAATTTATTGAAATGTTTCCCCACCTTTTCCTCTAGAAGTCTCTGCATTTCAGATCTTACATTAAGGTTTTTTTTTTTTTAATCCATTTTGAGTTGATTTTTATATAGGGTGAGAGATAGAGGTCTAGTTTCAATCTTTTACACGGAAATATACAGTTTCCCTGGCACTGTTTGTTTAAAAGGCTGGCCTTCCTCCAATGTATATTTTTGGCACCATTGTTGAGAATTAGCCAAAGATAGAGGATTTAATTTTGGGTTCTCTAGTCTGTTCCATTGGTCAATGTGTCTTTTTTTAAATGCCAATACCATCTACATTGCCACCAATTCTTTCAAGTTAGTGGTATTGTGGTAGAATAAAGTAGAAACTTTAGCAGCTTAAGAGCTGACAGGCTGTGGTTTCACACATTGGCACACAATAGCTCTGCTTATTGGCATTTAATCAGAGATGCTTGCAGCAGCTGACAGGTAGCCGTATCAAGGTGACTATAGTAGCAGAAACAGAAAACAAAATAACTGGGACAAAAGGCCCCCCCACCCCCACCCCCAGGTTTAGTGCAGTAAAAGTCCCCAAGCTGTCTGGGCTGAAATCCCCTGGGCTGTTGACAAACTTGTACCCATATAAGGGATGTAAGATGCAGCCTCCAATAGAATTGCACCAACACCCTTGCATGGAGTACCCAAACTTGCTTAAGTCTAAAAGCCCTGCTGCAGTTGGGGCTCAGACTTTGGGAATTATCACTCTGGGTTGTGGCCACTAATGAAGTGTTGCTTCCAGATCAGGTTATCCTGACCCTCATTTCTCATCACAGTATCTAGTGGCTGCTTTTTTTTTCCCCCAATAATCTCTTCTTCATAATGACATTGCATTCTAGCTGCCAAAGTTTTATGGTCATCATTCTTTAGTCTCAGATTTCAAAACTCTCCATTACATTAACTGAAGGCTACTCAGAATAGCCTCAAGAAGCTAGGAAATTCCAACAAATGCTAAAACATGGATGAATCTTGAAGACATGTTAATAGAAATAAATGAGACATAAAATGACAAAATTTGTGTAATTTCACTTATTTGAGTACCTAAGATAGTTAAATTTAGAGAAATTAAGTAGTAATTTAAATAATTAAGGCCACTGAATTGCACGCTGAGAAAGGATTAAAATAACAAATTTTATGTTTTATATATATATATATATACATATATTTTACAACAAATTTTTAGGAAAGGGCGTGACATGGGTACAAGATGGACAATTAGAACAATAGGGAAAAATATTGAACACACAGACCTATACAATCTTGGTATATGAAAGAAGAGACATTAAACCTGCAGGGAAAAGGGTGGCCTATTAAAAAGGGGATGAAAAACTGGATATTTGTATGGTAAAAGGTAACATTTAATTCCAACATCACATCACATAGAATTTAAATTAAAGTTGAATGACACTGTGGAACTAGGAAGGCCAAACTTCAAAACTTTTAGAAAAAAATATATGGTGATTGGGGACCAGGTATAGTGGTGCACACCTGTAATCCCAGTGGCTTGAGAGGCAGAGGCAGGAGGATTGAGAGTTCAAAGCCAGCCTCAGTAACTTAGTGAGACCCTGTCTCTAAATAAAATATAAAAAAATGGGCTGGGGATGTGGCTCAGTGGTAAGCACCCCTGGGTTCAATCCAGGGTATGTACATGTGTGTGTGTGTGTGTGAGTGTGTGTGTGAGTGTGTGTGTGTGTATCCATATCTGTATAATTGTCAGTGGCAACATTTCTTGAACAAGGCATGAAAGGCTGTGTCAGCTTCCCAGAACTGCTGGAACAAGGTGTTTCAATCTGGGTGGCTTTCAGCAACAGGAATTCATTCTCTTCTGGCCTCAGAGCTAGAAGTCTGAATCAAGGTGTCAGCTGGGCCATGATTCCTCAGTGGCCCTGCGTATAATCCTTCCTAGTCTCCCCACACCAGAGAAACCAAAGTGAACATTTGGGACTCAGCCAGGCTTCCATTTGTTCCAAGAGGACATTGGTTTAGCTGCTGCCTTGTGTACCTTCTTTTCAGAGATGGAGACTTGCTAAATTTCCCAGGATGGTCTTTAACTCCTGGGCTCAAACGATGCTCCTCTGCAGATCATTTAAGCAATCAAAAAGACCCCGAAAAAACTGGCTTCTTGGTCCAAGTCAATCAAGTGTTCATTAGTTACAGAGACAAAAATTCGGTCATTTTCCTTAAGTTCAAACATCCCCCCTTGATAGATGGAATAGAGTCCATATTCAGAATCTTTGGACCAACAACTATTTCTGGCACTTTTCATCAGCAATATAGGGTCAGGATAGTCCGTACATTTGTAAATATACTGTACCAACTGTTTGCTTTTCTTTTTGGTATCTTTTGAAAGTGTTCCTGAAGTTTCTTCAATTTCCTGAAATCGAAAGTATGTTTGGGAATAGATGTAATAAAGACCTGTTTGATGGATGACAAGTTCTCCATTCCTCAAGTGCAAATTTTTCAGGAATGAATGTCCCTTCCTTGATGACTCCCAGGATTTTATTTTCTGGCCCAAAGCCTTTTCACTCTTGGAGTCTGTATGAAGATGAGAGACATAGAGTTAACAGAAGAGAGATTATAGCAAAGCAAGGACTTCCCCAGGAGCTCTGCACAGCTGATATTTTTGTTGGGTTTACAATGGATTTCAATTTAATACCAAACTTCTTGCCCCTTCAATATTATGTGGATTATAAATTCTAGTCATAAAGGAATCAGGAGGTTCCTGCATCATTGTGATGTTCTGGAAGTTCCCTGCCTTACTATAGCTCATCTGCCTCTTATACCACACCTGACATGCTCATCTCTGAATAGTAACACAGGGCATGATCCACTCAGGTGGCAGTTTTTACTCCTGAGCAGAGCTTCTGTCCTAATCCCCCTTTCTTCCTTTCCTGTGCTGGTGGGTCTTTTTAAGTTCCTCCTTGGTCTTTCACAGTTCTCCAAAGTCAAAGATGCCACCCAAGCAGAAGGCATTTTTAATTCAAAAAATGAGAAAGACACAAATTTGGACAAAGGAACCTATATTTAAAGATCCTCATATCCATGGATCTTTAACTCTCAAAGATTTTGAGTGAAAAAGGGCTCTATAAAAAATATGGATATTTTAAAACTTTGGTTTCATCTTCCTGATTAGTGCAAAAATTTAGCTTTTTATGAGATTAAAACAATATCAAATTTGTTGATGAATAACAAACAGTAACATTATGTAATAATTCTTACTTGTGGGTAGCACATGTCAATCATTTCTAAAACATGATTTTAGGAATACCAAGGAGACAACTGCTCAGGAATACAAACAACTCTCCTAAACAACTTTTTCATCATTAAGTGATTCTTAAATTTCTTTATCTGGGATAAAATCTTTCCTAAAAACAAAGCTGACTATTTATAGAGTACTCAAAGTAGGGTAGACAGTTTGCATGTATTACTATTAATCTTCACCACTTTATGAGTTAAGGATGATCTCTATTTTGCATATGAAGACATTGAAACTTGACTTGCTTAAATAACTTGCTGTAAACATACCTAGGTGAGGAGGAGCTGAGTATTCACGCTTTAGTATTTACACTGTCAGACCCATGCACTTCCTACTGCATTACATTGATACCCAGTCCTACAGAAAAAACTGGACTTAACATATTTAGGTAAACTGTAGCACACGGATTTAGGTAAACTGTATGGAACTGACATTTTTGTGAATGAAATATGCTCTTATGTTGGCAATGTCCTATGACTCAACTTACAACGGCCATGAAGAGCACCTAATGATTCATAGTGAAAGTACATGGTTTAGAACCTTATAAGAAAAGGAAGATTTGACACACATGCAAAAACGGAAAATGCAATGCCATTGAAGGTGGGGAGGGGAGGGAGGATATCACTTTACAGATAAAGAAGAATAGCAAAAAATGGAAGCCTAGGAATTTCAAAGACAAAATTCTTCCCTTCATATTTTCCCCGAAGCCAGTTTTGCCGCAGCAGTAATTGAGCTCTTTGTCTGTAATTTTGCTTCTGAAAATAGTCAATCTGAAACTTGATTATTACAAGCATCTTCTAGATTGCCATATAAATATTTTAGGTAGAAATTAAACAAATTAAATTCCTTGGAACAATGCTTCCGTTGGCTACCCTTAGGCCAGGTGTTATTTTTCAGTGCTAGGATCAAACCCAGGGCTTCATGCATGCTGGGCATGTGCTCTACCACTGAGGTACATCCCAACCCTAAATTGGATGTTTGTTGTTTTTTCTTACCTGGATCTAAGAATGTAATGCTTCTCCGAGTGGTCCCTGTTATGTGAGCTGCTACTCTCTGAGGTCTTCTTTCTCTTTCTAGGGAAGAAATAACTTGCTTTTCTAAAAGAAAAATGACAAAGACTCATCAGCACTGATCAAACTAGTCCTCAAATAAGTTCTGCTCACAGGTGCTGTCAGTCAAGAAGCACATTGGGCTTCCAAAGTTGATTCTAGGAGTTTCATAAAAAGACAGCCCATGTTTTAGTAGGATGGTCAATCTACTTCAACTATGTTTGATTTGAAAAGTACTTTAGCCAGAAAGAATGAGCACTAATGTGAATTATAATTTATCAGCATCTCAGAGGCAAGGACCAAGTAGAATACAACAAAAGGCAACAAACAAACAAAAACAAACAAAAATTAAAAAGACACTGTGGACTTCTAATAATCATGCTGAATGACTTAAAGTGTGCAAATAATCATATATTGGCAAATTTCCTCTTTGAGTTACATATGGAAAAAATTAGAGTGGTAGCATTTTTTTTCCACTCCAATTTTTTCCATCTCAATTGTATTTTCCTCTTTGCTAGGTACTACTGATGCTAAAGGAGTGGAATAGCAATTGTTCATAGATGCTACAAACTGGTATCTAAATAGTCATCCCCAAACCCCCCTCACTCCCACCAAAAAAAAAAAAAAATAGGAATTGACATGCTGGTCCAAGATTTAGTCCAAGAACACGTAAGTTGCTGATTCACGAGATCATAACAAATAGGATTTATTGACCACCATCCAAAGTACTTGAGAGCAACTTAAAAAAAAATCCCTCAACCCCTACTCTCTTTAAAAATATCAGCTCCAACTTCCCAAATATGCTCACATTGATTGTTAGAATAAGTTGTGTTCTTTCGTCAAACAAATATTAGCAGGTTATCCCTGCACTACACTGTACAAGGTTACATGAATTAATCATTGATTCTATTGACTGAGTCCTCAAGGGACTTAATAGTATTTCATGAGATATGAATTAGAAAGTGAAAAGTTACCTATGAGAAGTAGAAATAAAGGGTGACAGGTGTGTAGAAGAGGAAAGACTCCTAGTTATTTGAGAGCTGAGGTCAGGGGAAGGTTTGTCGAGGAGATGGTGCTAAGGTCTTTTCTTTCATTTACTCAAATAAACCAAAGTGCCCACCACACCTGGGCCAGACATTGTCCAGGACAAAAAGAATTATAGCAAGCAAATGCAAGAAACTGTTATAATGCAAAGATCAATATCTAAACAGGGTGAGGATGGGCAGGCTGCAGGGATGGGAGAAGACATTTCTGGCGAAACAGAACAGAATCCCAGAGCAGGATGTACAAAGCATTCCCCGGTCATGGTCCTGGGAGGAGTTCAGTTGCAAGCTTGAATGAGGCATCCAAGAATTGAAGATCTTGACTTAACAGGACATGGGAAGACTGAAAGGTATCCTGGGAAGTGAAGAGGTATTCGTTGTAGTTGAAGCCCCCTTATGTCATGGTAAAGTTTGATGGATGGAAGGTGAGAGGGCTGCAGGCTAGCAGTCAAGTTAACAGATAATTATAACTGAGACAAGCACAGTAGGCCTTAATTTAGGCTAGGAGAAGAGGGAGCCAATAGGAGTGCTGAAATTTCACAGAGGAGGATGAATGGAAAACAAAACAAAACAAAAAATCCTTTCCATCTCTCTAGTTGTAAATGATTCAGAATGGGTGGCCATTTATATGATACTGAAGTCCAAATGTAGCATGGAAATGCATAGTCTATTACACATTAGACTCAGAGTGCTTAGCTTTCAAGGTTGATGTGTCCATTTACCTTTAACCTTGACTGTTAAATAATTCATGATGCCTTGCCTGCCCCTAACCCTTAACACAATGTTTTTAAATATTCAATATCTGAATTCGATTTGCATTTGAGGTCATTGCAAGGATATGGGAAAAAAAGATTTGAAAACAAATTTTAAAAGAGAGGAAATTTCCTTCTGGTTATAACAAATATCTCCTAGAGAAAAAACTTGCTTATATGTGTATTTGGGTGTCACCGATACATATGGGCATGCAGAGCACCTAGTGATTCATAGTGAAAGTACATGGTTTAGAATCTTACAAGAAAAGTAAGATTGGACACATGTGCAAAAAGGAAAATGCAATGCCATCGAAGGCGGGAAGGGAAGGATGCTTTACTGGGGTGAATAAAAAGAATACTGTTCCAACACTAAAAAGAGTATGTGCACCTACTATAGCCCATGGATCCAGTGAGCCTTATCAGAACTGGTGGCATGTCCAACATGCTGACAACTGCTTTTACCTTTGGGGAGATGATCAGAAAGAATGCTTAGATCCCAGGACCAGGCCTTGTCATTCATATTTAATAAAGAAAAATGAGACTTTTCACATGATGGGGAGGTTAAGAAACAGTTTCTTCTCCACCAGATTGCTAGCATATGTGTTCAGTCATGTATGGCCGGTCGTATGGAAAAATGGGGACATGGTGAGCCAAATGCAAAGAAGTAGCAAATTTAATTCAGTCATTTTATTAACATGTTCATTTATTCATTCCAAAACTACGATGAAAGAACATTCTGGATAGAGAGGTGGTGTTGGCACACTGTGAATACACTAAATGGTCCACTTTTAAATGGTTAACTGTGTGCTTTGTGAATTTACCTCAACAACAACAACAACAATAACAACACACACACACACACACACGGACTTAAAGTAGTACAATAAAGGGGCAAGGTGGGAAGTCAGAATCACTAGGCCTGAGGTGTACAGTTAGGTGCAGGGTATAGAGAGGTAAGAAAACAGAAATGTATTCTGTCTTTACAGATCTTGAACCCAGTAGAGAAGCAGACATCAAGTAGTTTTAAAATACATAAAAATAGAAGAGCTGGACAAGGTGAGTGTGATAGAAATAACAGTGTAGGGAACCTTACTTAGACAGGTGCGAGGAAAATCCTCTGTAAAGAGGCGACAGTTAGATGATCCATGATGAAGAGGGAGGAGCCTGGGATGGAAGATGACAGATGGAAGGGTAAAGAAGTTGGCCTGGGCTACCACAGTGCTGGGGAATGTGGGTCAAGAGAAGGCTGCTGACCATGAACAGGAAGGTAGGGGTTGCATGGAGACCACAGGATGAAGATTGCGGTTGGCTAGAAAGATGTTCAGGGGAGGCATGATGCAGGAGGGGCTTTTGCTCATGGTCAGATGCAGAGAAGATGGGTAACTCTGGGGGAATCTTATCTACTTCACTTCCTGCCAGGTTTCAGAAAAGATTTAAGGTGGCTTATTTAAAACATAAGGTAAAAAACAGTTAAGTGAAGAAATTGAGGTGAAAGGGAAATTCATATGGTAAAAACAAAATTGAGAGGAAGTAAAGTTCTGGCTATAGGTAGGCCACAGATTTGGTTCTGAACTTTCCAGTTATTGGTGCAAAGATTAAAATAGAGTCAGTAAGTGGCTTGAGACACCGAGCAGCAGGCCAGAGGTGGGTGGGCAGATGGGAGCAAAGAGGAGAACAGAAAGCTATTTACCTTGTCATGAATTTGACAAATTAGAAGAACAACAACAAAAAAATCACTACCTTCAACTGTAGGAATGGTTTCCTCATAGGTTCTCAAAATCATCTGCAAATAGTATTGAATAAAGCTTGTTAATTCTCTACAAGTTTTCACCCGCTGTAGAATATGCCTATGGCTCTTCTTGCTGATGTCTAAAAGGACATTTCTATATAAGATACCAACTTAGCTTTAAGTTGTTGATTGAACTCAGTGTTTGTATGGGGAGGGCCGAGGGCAGGGATGAATAATGAGATAGTGGTCCCTATGCAATGACGAAGGGAGGGTCTTCTGCCCAGGAAAGTTCTGCTTCTGGATGAAGTCTTTGAAAGGTCACACTTGGAACAGTGCATGAGGAAGAGGCCATCTGCCAAGTCAGGACAGCCTAAAGTCCCCCAGGCCTCCATGAGGCCCCATGTGATAATCATGTCATATCACTTTCTGTTGGGGGGGGCACATGTGTGTGTGTAAAAGCATGACATGACAGAGTCCAGCAGCTTGAAATTATTGGACAGATCCAAATCTTAAAATATAATGAATACTTCTCTCTCATGATGCCCACAGACATTCACACCCACCAGGGTATGGCCTGGCAATACCATGTCATTCTCTCATTTCTGAAAACGTGGTCAAGATATACTGTACATAAAGATATTTCACTGAGTTGCCATAGCTTCACTAAACATCTAGCTTCACTAAAGCCTCCTCTTTGTGCTAACCAATGGGGAAAAACAGCAAGAAAGTGAAAATTGAACCTTTGTATTAAACAAGCAAAACCCAGCTAGGTTCACTCATGGCTTCTGGACCCCCTTCATTCAGCTCAGTCACTCCTGAGGGCTTGGGCCATTGCTGCCCTCCTTTCCGAATCATTGTCATTAATTTTGCAATTGCTGGAACCTGCCTCCTCTGTACCCCCACCCCAAAGCAGAGGCTCTGTGCTTCTCCCTCTGCCTACAGCCCTAACCCTGGATAGGGTTAGGAGTCAGTCCTGTGGGCTCTGGTGCAGGGATGGGAATGAGGGGAAGTGAGCATTCTTTCTCTCTCTTGCTCTGTTTCTGTTTGTCTCTCTCTTTCACTCTTGTTCTTTCCTTCTCTTATTCTGGGACAGAAGGGAAGGGAAGGAGGGAGGGAAGCAAGTGAAGGGGAGAAAGGTCAGCCTCACAGTGTGGGAAGCAGAATGAGGGACTGCAAGTGTCGCTGCATAGCCTCAGTCCAATCTTGCCAATACTAGTTCTGGGAGCCTGCTCAAGTTACTTTGCTGATCCGAACTTCAATTTCTTTATCTATTTAAAAATGTGTATATGGCCCAGTGCAGGGGTGCACACCTGTAATTCCAGCAGCTCGGGAGGCTGAGGCAGCCTGAGTAACTTAGTGAGGTCCAAAGCAACTTAGGGAGACCCTGTCTCAAAAAAAAAAAAAAAAAAGGCTGGGGGTGTTGCTCAGTGGTTACACTCCCCTGGATTCAATCCCTGGTACCAAAAAGCAAAGCAAAAGCAAACAAAACACAAAACAATATCTATGTGTGTGTGTGCATAAAACTTTGATTTTATATATACATAAAACCATGATTTCTTCCTCAGAGAGCTGCTGTGAGGATTCAATGAGATCATGCACAAAATGGGCATCGGCTGCTTACTGGAAATAAAATGTTTAACCGTTGTGATGCATCTGATATAAGGGGCAGTTCTTTCCCCACTCTGGCCCCCACCTGCCATGTGCTCCCCCAGCTTCTCTCTACTCTAGTTGGTGTCAGAATCTAAGAAGGGGAGAGGGAGAGTTGCAGAAACCCACATGTAAATTCTCTTGTCTCCCCACTGCTGCTCCCCATTCCAGAAGACTCCTCAGTCTCCAGGTGTCTACCACAGTTCTGCATCTCTCCCTGTTGCTGGGTTTCGTCCTGCCCTCCAGCCTCCAGATCCCAGGGACTTTGGAATTCCATTTCTGAGGTTCCTCTGGAGCCTTCCACAGCCCGTGCTTTTTCTAGCTTTTGCCCGCCCCTGCCCCAGCAGTCATTTCCATTTGAAGTGAAGGAATCACAGCTGCTCAGTACTACTGCGGGGGGAGGGGCAGCCAAGACCACATTTCTAGGGTGGGCACAGAGCAGGTGCGTTCCTAGGCCACCCAGGTGGAGATGCAATTTCATTTCCTGTGGAAATAGCATCGTGGTGATGTCTGAACTTGACCTTGTCTCTCAACACGCTGCTTCCTCTCTTCTCCTCTGCTCCCAATCAGAGCTTTGCATGTGATGTTGTCTGAGGTCCCTTCCAGCTCTGACGTGGTGTGGATCTTATTCTACAGTTGGAAACCCACCGAGATAGTGTACACCAGACAATGGACTTTACAAACATGTCTAAAACACATCCTCCTCCTACCCTGGGAATTCCCCAGTATGTCTTTAAACAATGATAGCATACATGGGCTTGTTTTGATATTTGTGCTCTCATCTGATGTTTTCAGCAAATATTTTTAAATGCCATCTTACAGAGAAGGGAGCAGCCAGGGAAGAAATTGATTCAATCGAAGTCACATTGCCAAAAATAAAATCAATCACATTTAGTAAAATTAACTATTAGCTAACACAATATTTCTGCTAGAGGTCTCTTAAGCAACTTATATAAATAGGTATATTTTTGTAATTTGTCACTTAACTGTGAACTGAGATATCTTCACCTTTGGTTCTTAAAGTATCTCTTTTTCCCTCTTCCTTTCTTCATCACTGTGTGCATGCATAAATAAATATGTATTTAATTCCAGAGAGCAATAATGTGGGAAGCATATAAAACATCATTATTTGGCTTCCTTTGTCTTCTGAATGAAGACCAAAAAAAAAAAAAAAAAAAAATTACACCACACAGCAAGACCTTGAACACATTTTCTTGTCTGTGCCTCAGTTTCCACAAGTGAGATTAAAAGTTTAGACTAGAGGAGGAGGCTCTAGGGTATACCACAAATCAGCCAGGACCTATCATTTTGTGCTACACCAGTTTTTCCTAGTTCTGTGAATCTGGGGAAAAATCACTTAAACACTCTGGGCCTCAGTTTCCTCTTTTGCAAAATGCAGAGTCTAGGCTTGATAGCTTAAGGATTCCTCCTCCTCTGACCTTGTGCACCTGTGAGGGAGGTTACCTACCTTCCTGACAAACTGGCGGAGTTGCCACTTCCCTTGCCAGCAGGGGCTATTCATAGAATCTTCATCAGTGGGGTCCCAAAATCGGTCATCTTCCTTTAAGAAACAGGCAACGACACCTTGGAAGTACTTGTCCTGCATCTGGGTTGAAATGGAATATACCACAATGTTATACACCACAGCTTTTTGCCTTTCTCCAACTGCAAGTTAAAACAATGGAAACGGATGGCGGATTCAGAGAAGTTACAGCACCTTGGATAAAAGTAGGCCTGCTGTCCTTTTTGTTCTTTGGCTAAAAGCAAGCAGTTGAATAATAGGGGGAAAGGTTGTGACTCATATCAGACATCCTGGGTCCTGGTGCCGTCCCTGACCTCATCTTTAAGCAGCTGTGTTGTCTCTCCACCATGCTTCCTCTCTTCCCTAGGTGCTGCTAATCAGAGCTTTGAACATGGTGATGTCTCGGGTCCCTTCCAGCTCTGTTGTGGTTGGATCTCATTCTAAACTTGAAAAGCCACCTAAATACAGAATAGGCAGGGAGGTCAGTTTGAATCCCAGCATCCTAAATAAAAATTAGACCCTTTGATGTATGGGCAATCCCCTTTTTCTTAATCAGAACCCAGGTGGCTGAGGAGATTCTGTTATTGATGTGATTTCTGCTAGTCTGGGTGGCATTGTCTGGACCTGTTCTAGAAATCTCCATGCTGCCTCATTCGATGTTTACACTAGTGAGGGACTTGTCTGCAGAGATTTGAAATACCATCTGAAGTTTTGCTGTTTCTTCTGATTGAGAGTAAATATTTATACAGCCGGATCATTGTCAACAAAGTCCTCACCCTTATCAACAAATCCTTGCTAGATGTTACACACACACACACACACACACACACACCATCCAGAACATTCCAGGCTGTTATCTGATTAAGAAAAACAGAAGTTTTTCTTTTTATTTCCTTCTTTCCCTTTTGATTTTATTTTCCTGACGATTGTAAAAAAAATTTAGTTGAGTTACCTTTATCTGGGGAAATAAATGGGAAAATAATTATTTTTATCTGTTATTTGAAGTTAGTTTACTGCAAAGCTTGAAGGAGCAATCAAATTTAATGACAATCTTTTAATTTATGAATAAAACAATCTCAATTTAAACAAAACTTCCTGTTTATGACTCAGCCATGTACCCCTTGGATTTTTGATAAAGGTCGCTCAAGTGTAAAGGTACAGATTTGAGTTAATAAATTCCTTCCACCCTAGCGCAGAACACTTAACTTTTAAATAAATGTTTATTTTTTTAAAAATTTCTTTCTTTCTTTTCTTTTATTTTATTTTTTGGTACCAGGGATTGAACCCAGGAGGGCTTAACCACTGAGCCACATGCCCATTCCTTTTAATTTATTATTTTGACACAGGGTCTCCCTAAGTTGCTTAGGGCTTCACTAAGTTTCTGAGGCTGGCCTTGAACCTGTGATCCTCCTGCTTCAGCCTCCTGTCTTTCTTTCTTTCTTTAAAAAAAAAAACAAAAAACAAAAAACTCTAAGAATAGAACTTTGGGCTGGCCGACTTCCAGCTTAGTCATGATGGTTAATGCTACTACCAACCCAACCATCACAGCTGCTGCTCCTAGAGCTTGTGGCCAGGTGTGCAGGATCAAAAATTTACATTGTGGTCTGGGGATATGACTCAAGCGGTAACGCGCTCGCCTGGTATGCGCGGGGCGCTGGGTTCGATCCTCGCACCACATAAAAATAAAATGAAGATGTTATGTCCACCGAAAACTGACAAATAATTATTAAAAAATTCTCCCTCTCTCTCTTTCTCTCCCTCTCTCTCTTCTCTCTCTCTCTCTCTCTCTCTCTCTCTCTCTCTCTCTCTCTCTCTCTCCTCTCTCTTTAAAAAAAATTACATTGTGATCAAAAGTAATGAGGAAATGATGGGTACACTTCTAGGATTTAATGACTTTGTCAACACTGTGCTGGAATCACACCAGAAGGAACAAGGATTACTCAATATATTAGCTCAGATTTTGCTAAAGGAAATATTAATATTGGTTCCTGGAGGAGAAGAACCTGAAGTAGGAATGAATTTCCTTGACTTATGCTAGTTTCAGTTTTGTTATATAATGACAGCACAATAGAATTGTTTTAATCTTTTGGATTTTCTCAAGTTTCCTGTTATAGGGAAATGCTTTGAAGATGTATTGTATAACCATTTTTTTAAGTTAATCATGATTATTTTGGAAAAAGAAGAAAGGAACTTGTAAAAAAAATAAAGGTGTTTTTTGGTTACCTTACTTATTACACAATAGTAGCCAATGAAATAACAACAAAAAACAACAACAACAAAAGAGTAGAAGAATCTCATAAATGCAGTTGAGGATGGCCACCTGGACCCACCTGAGTGGTGGAATATGTCTGGCAATGGAATTAGACAGCCTACCTCATACCTGCCCAACCCACACACCTCTGTTGGGAACAGCAAGTTGCCTCTCCAAATACCTTAGGAGTTGAATAGCCTTTCAGAGAAGGAATTCAGTCACATATGGCTCAGAAGCGTAACAGGGGACCACTTTGTGCTTTGGACATGACTTTTGCTGCTCTGCCACTGTGGCTGATTTTAAAACTGACATTTCCCCCCCGCTTTCTCTTCTTCCTCTCCCTCTCAATGTCCCTAACGTTGGGAGAAGCAAGATTACCCTTTTCCCCATCCTAGGCTGTTATCTGTCCTTGAGCAAACCCATACCACAGGAATAAACTAATTCAGACTTCAGGATGGTGCCAGAAGATCTGAGAAATGGCTACTTCTCAGGGCCACAAGTAGATTATAGCCCCCCAACTAAGCACGCCTGAAATGCAGCTTTTGAATTACCTCTTTAAAAGCCCTCTGGTCAGATTCACAGACTCTGGTATAGGAATCCCCTGTGTTTCTCCTTTGCTAGCAAAGCAATAAAATTTCTTTTTCCATTTTCTCAAAACTGTGTCCTCATTATTATATTGACATCAGGGACAAGGACCAAGCTTTCGGTTACAGAAGCAGGAGACCATATCTAGCAAATGGGGGACAGGGATCAGGGAGGAAGAGGGAAGAGCTGGAATGAGCTACAGGATGAAGACGGTTATAGGAAAAGCAAGTTTTCCTGGTCACTGTCTCAGTGCAGCCAGTCTGAGGAAGTTCTGCCAGGCTTTGGTTTTATTAAACCCAAACAGCAGGCTCACAAACATTGGTAACTTGTTGGGGTACAAAGGTGTGCCTGACAAGAAGGGAGGGAGCACTTTGCTCCTTACTTCCCAGAAACTGCAGGCTATTTCAACAGGAAAGAGTGTTGACAGACAGGGAGGGGCAGAGTTGGCTGCCTCTGGGTCAGGCCAGCATCCTGACAGGGGTTAGCAGCAACCTATGACCCCGAGTGGAATTTGAGAAGGGTGGAAATACAACCCAAACAGCAGAGGCCAGTTCAGGCTAATGCCAAGTGTGAGTGAGTGCCTGTGATACCTCTTGGGTTTTCTAGAAAATCTGTCAGGAGGTGGAAGGGGGAACTGTGAAAACTGAGTAAGGTCCTGGGAGATTGACAAGCTCGTGTTACTTATGGCTCAAAAGTAAATGCAGCCTAGACACTTGCAAAATATACTGGCAGCCAGAGAAACATAGAAAAGTAAAGAACATGTTTTGAAAGTATAAATGGAAAACAAAATACTCCCTCAAAGTAAAAATAAATAAATAAATAAAACAGAACGAACAGGCAAACACTAAAAGCATCCACAACCCCACCCCATAGTTAACCTTTGGATGCTCTCTCTTGTTTACAGGGTTATCAGACTGCCTGTATACAATTATTGCATATAGTTGTTTTTTTCTCTTAATATCCAAACTGGGCACGGCAGTGCACACCTGTAAACCCAGCAAATTGGATAGTGGAGGCAGGAGGATTGCAAGATTGAGGCCAGCCTCAGCAATTAAAAAAAAAAAAAAAAAAGGACTAGGGCTATAGCTTAGTGGTAGATTACCTCTGGGTTCAATCCCCAAATATCCTACCAAAGACTGTACACAAATATCACATTATCACATTCTTTAAATTTGTATGAAAACCACACATGGTAGCATATATTCTCTTACGAGATTCACTATAGAAAATGTATACTATCCTGAAAAATAAAATGGAGGGCACCTCTTACCCTCCTATATAGAGAGCATACTTATCAACATTTTGGTTTTTGTCTTTCTAGACATTTTTATACATAAATATTGAATTTTGAAAAAAAAAAATCCAGAGAGGAAGCTTCACCACCTTCCTCATCCTCGTGTGTTCCCTGTATTATGATGTTTGGTTGTTCTTTTGCAGGTCTTGGCCTGTTCTAGTGACTGTGTGGCAAGTTTGTGCTGTGGTGAGTCCAACAACGATTAATCAGATGTCTCTTGCCCCCCCCCCCCCCCCCCCCACACACACATCCTTTCTGTCTCAAAGTAGGAGCTTCCTGCAGCTCACTGCAGACTGGACTGTTCTTTAGATAACCACATGTGGGTGTTGGGGCTGGGGGATGCAGGAGTTCAGGTTTCATTCCTGTGGCCCCTGGAGGCACAGCTTTGTACTGAGTACCTGTTTTTTTTTTTTTTTTTTTTTTTCAGAAGCCCTTGGTTCTGAGAAGTGGATTTCCATGGTGACTGCTTTGGTGCAGTCACAACATGGCAGCTGCCTAGGCCAGGGCCAACCAGTCCTGGTGGGGCTTAAGATCAGGAAGGTAGATTCCTGTGCTGTCACAGAGATTTTAAGTTGACAGCTTTGGCTCTCCCTGCTCCTCAAACATTAGTCTCTGATCATCATTTTCTGCAAACCACAAATAGCATAAAGAATCATTTATGGGGTTCAATAGAGAAGGATCCTCTTTTCCCTCCCCATCTATGATGTCAGAGTGATGGGCCATCTCCTTGCCATGAAACTTTCACAGAATGACACAGACTTTGGAGTTTCCATACATGCCTCATACTCGCTGTTCTACAGGCTTCTTGTGATGGTCCAAGTCAATGTTACTGGGCCTTCTTTGACACATGCGCCATCCTATAGACCTTGCTTACTGAATCTTCTGCAAATTTTCAAAGGCAGAACCTGTAATCTGTCTTAGGAAATTGCTGCTTATGCCGAATATGCTTTTTCAAATTCTGCACAGATTCTCAAGAAAATTCAGATTTATTTCCCCTTGTAAAAATTCCTGATGAAGATGGTGATACCTTCAAAAAAATCTTTCAACAGAAATTACTATGGCTAAATTTATTGAGCACTTGCTTAATAGCCAGTTTCAAAAGTTAGGCTTTATCTTCTACTAACTTTGTCATCTTGAAAAAAAAATTACCTAATTTCCCTAAGCCTTAGTTTGTTCACTTATAAAATGGTATAATTATACTGATTTTTATAAGATGGTTATGTGTATAACACAGTGTAATAGTTATCAAAGTTTCTGGCATGCAATAATTGTTCAATATCTGTTAATTCTCCTTTTATAGTGCTACTCTCAATTCTTTTTTTTTTTTTGCTACTCTCAATTCTTATGCATGTGTTTGCACATGTAACTATGCAGTCAAGAAAAATATGCATAAGTGGGGAGATGTTAAGCTTTATTTGAAATTTCCATTTTTTTAGTAGAAGTTTTAAAAACTTGATTATATACATAGGCAACTGCAATCAGCTCAGCGGAGAATCCATTCAGTCTTAAATAAGCAGACCAATTTATGATGTGATAGAGCCGCTTGTTTATGGAGAAATAGCTTCACTCTCTTTATACTATAAAGTTAACAAAGGGCTTCAAATACTGGCTTCAGATGGGTACACGTAGCAGCATTCTGGTCTCTTTTTTCCAATATTTTTTATTATTAGTTGTTCAAAACATTACATAGCTCTTGACATATCATATTTCATACATTTGATTCAAGTGGGTTATGAACTCCCATTTTTCCCCCGCATACAGATTGCAGAATCACATCGGATACACATCCACGTTTTTACATATTGCCATACTAGTGACTGTTGTATTCTGCTGCCTTTCCTATCCTCTACTATCCCCCCTGCCCTCCCCTCCCATCTTCTCTCTCTACCCCCTCTACTATAATTCATTTCTCTCCTCATCGTTATCCAATATTTTTTATTGGTGCATTATAATTACACATAATGGTGGGATTCATGCATGCACACAAATATAACAATATAATTTGGCAAATATCATTCCTCAGTATTTCTCTTTTCCCTCCCCTTCTCCCTTGTGCTAGTCTCTTTTTCTACTTTAATGCTCTTCCTTCAGTTTTCATGAGGTACACCTCATCTTTCTTTTCCTTTTTTCCTCTCTCTAGCTTCTATGAGAGAAAACATGACCCTTGACCTTTGGTTCATTTTGCTTAATATAATGCTCTCAAGTTCTATTTATCCTGCAAATGACATAATTTCCTTCTTATTTATGGCTAAATAAAACTCCATTGTGTCTATGTACCACATATTCTGTATCCATTCACTGATTGATGGACACCTAGGCTGTTTCCATAGTTTGGCTATTGTGAATTGGGCTGCTATAAACATAGGTAGCAGCTTTCCAGTCTCTTATGTGGACTTAAAACTAAAAGTATGATTATAGTAATATCTGTTTTCCTAGAAATACACAAACTCTTCAACATGCCCTCCAATAAAGCCTTCTTTACAGGTCATCTAATGTGTTAGAAATTCTAGGGTGTCATGAGGAATCAGACACATATTCAGAAGTAGCTCCATAAGGCAGAATGTAGTTCTGCAGAAGGGTGTGCTACTGAACAAAGTCTGGCAAGCAAGTGCACATGAGTGAGCTGACTGCCTGTTTTTATCCCCAGTGCAGTACTGCCCCTTGCTCTGATAGGAAGAGCCTGGGGTTACAATCTCTGCAATTGGCTAATTTTAAAATTGGAGCTGGCAAAGGAAAGGGTTCTAGTTACAACTGAATACAGGTTAGGGAGCTCAAAATGGCTAATTGGGTTATTTCAAGAAATCCATAGCCTAAGGTGCTATTGTGTAACTTTCCATTCTGCTCTATTTCCCCTCTGTAGGCATTTCTTACACCCCAATCTTACATTTAAGGCTAAATACTATATTCTGAAAATGGACCACCAGACTTTCTATTTCTCACAAATGGTCAACGTAATTTTCATAATGACTTACAAAAAAGAGTCAACTTCTTCCATTTCCAAAGGAAAAATTCCCAACCAACTGAGATAACCAAATTTACACTCCATAGGGTATACAAACTGCATTTTCCTAACAGACCATTAGAAAGCACTCTATAGCTTTTATGCATTTATATTTTTCTGGGACTCAGCCTTGCATTTCCTAGTCACCAGCAGATTTGGTGTTGCAGGATGTACATCATGAGCTGCACAGTTTTGACCATGGGTATGCTGCTGTGGAAGGAAGAGCATTAGTTAGGCATTCACAGTCCTGGTGCTAGCTGGTCCCGTGTAAGCTTGGGTAATACATATCTCTGGGGGTGGGGGGGCCTGCTTTCCTCATCTATACAATGAGGATGGGACTGGGGATGAGGTATCCAAAATTTCGTCCAGCTCTCCATTCTCTATTATATAATATAGAATTTGTCAAAATATACATAAGGAATTAAAAACTGACTTGGTTTATTTGAGTTGGCATTTGTGCTTTGGTTTATTTTACATTCACAGTTTCAAAAGTTTTAGATAGTTGAAAAATCATAAACTAAAGTGACACTAAGTCTTTTTCTTTGTATTCATACCTGTTTTTCACCTGGACTATCCTGAGCATAAAGTGACAATTGTATTTTCAAATAAATAGTCAAATACTGAGTATATCAGCCTCTCTGTTACAGACTTTACCCATGACACATCTGTGCACCGGGGTAGGCAGAAAGCCAGTCCTTTGTATTCACACTCGTTATTGTCAGCACAGAAGTGCCATAGTTCTGAAGCTAAAGTGCACTTCAAGGAAGGTTTCCTCCACCCCTCACTTGTTGGAGCAATGAGAAACCTGACATTGGTTCTGATTTTAGTTCAGATGCAGATTATTCTACCTGCTAACTTTTAAAAGTCTGGCTTGTCTATGTGAAGAAATTCTACCTACTAACTTAAAATATTAAACAACAACAAAAAGGAGTGGGAGAGAGAGGCTGGCATGAAGTCTGAGCATAAGCAAACAGTACATAGGTGTTTGTGCAGGGCTCACCTCTGAATGTTTTCCCAAGTCTGTCTATGGTCCACTGGAATTAACCTCAGCTGGAACCTCATTAAGGGTTTAGTTGTTGGGTTTGGGTTGAGCCCCAACTCTCTTTTTGCTGCCTGTCTCTTAGAGGCTCCCACCATGTTTGTGATAGTTGTTCACTTATATAGACAGTATTCAGAAAGCACCTGCATGGTAGCCATATGCCAGGCTGCGGAGGTGTCAGAAGCAGATGCAGCCTCTGCTCTGATGCCCTCACCCACAAGAATTCAAGCATTTAGCAGGAAGCACTGCAGAATGGTATCAATTTTAAAAAAGCAAATGCATATAAAACTAAACAACAACAACAAAACCCCTTAGGAGTTTTGTTCCTTGCATCTGCCAGTAACTGGTAGAGCCAGTTCTGTAACTGAGCTTGTTTTTGCACAGTCTACTGAACCTGCACCTCCATGAAGTCCTTGGGAATGATAAACATTAGCAGTTAGAATCTGCAGACAGAAAGAGATTTTCTTCATAGTAAAGTTTTCAAGGAGCAGTGAGCTGCGAGGCAGAGAGGAGGGCCACCTGACAGTTGCTGAGACTGCCTTTTACTGACCTGCTTCAGCTCATTGGTGAAGTAGATGTAAGTCACAGCCACACACAGGGACTGCAGGAGCACTGTGAAGATCAGAATCAGCACACAGGACTGCCCGGGACTGGAGCTCGCCACGGTCTGCATCATGGCCATGATCCTGTGAGGGTCTGATCGTCCCATGTCAGCCAGGCAGCAGCAGGCTACTACGAGGAAACAAAAAAAAAAAAAACGGGGGTGGAGTTCGTTTGAGTTTCATTTCTGTCAACATGACGATGAAGTTCACAGAACACTACGAGGGAAGCCAGCAGGAACAGAAGTGAAAGTCCCAAAGGCTTTCTCCATTCTACAACAATGTCAGGTATCAATTTGGTGAATGCATTAAAAAAAAAAAAATTCAATGTGCAAGGCTATGAGTTCAATCCTCAGCACAGGAAAAAAAAAAATCACCAGGAAATCTGTTAAAAAGTATTGCTGCCTGGACCCCACCTCACATCCCTTGAACCTACCCTCTGTTCTACCCCCACTCCTCTGAGGCTGGAACAGAGCAATGTGATAAAGCTTGCACCATGGTGGTAACGGGGAGAAGGGAGACCAATACCCTGCCCAATATACTGTGCCCTTCTCTGTCCTCAACTCCCTTTGCCCTCTTCTCTTTCTTGCTTTCCTTCTTTCTACAATCCCCTCAGCTGAAGATGGCTGGGTTTTTATTTTATTTTTCCTATTACATCCTCATTCAATTATAGAGCCCTAGGCCTTTCACCCTGGCTGCCATTAGCAAAGGCACTATCTTTCTAAATGATAGGAGAATTCTTATGACTTGAAACTTCCATATCTGGCTTCCCTTCTGTTACCTGAGGTGTAGAAGAGGGTTTGTGCCAGAGTGAATAAAGAAAAATGCAATCCTTTCATAACAACGATATTTCTGCATAACCCTATTTTGAATGGCAGAATCTAAATAATGTGCCTTTCCTTTTGCAAACATTCTGAAACAAATTCTCGTCTCTTTCCCGCACCCCAATGCCCTAACAAGGTAATATCTACTGAGTCAAACTGGAGAGGGAGGAAATGGCTAATATACCCAGAAGTTAGAGGGGGAAAAATGCACTGATGTTTTCCCAAATGGAAATGGAGACTCAGGGAACCCCTGCTCAAGGTTATGCCATTATTTACCCTTAAATGTAAAACCAGTCCCACATCTGGAGCTAGTATGCTGACCATGCCATATGCTGACCATGCTATATGTAGTCCCTATATTTTGTTCAGCATTTCATGACCTATTCTAGACCCACTGAATCAGAGTTTCTGGCATTGAACCTAAGAATTTGTATTTTCACCAAACACTCCAAGAAATCCTTTGTAACCTGTGTTAGTCAGTTTTCCATTGCTGTGACAAAATACTTGAAACAAACAACACAAAAGGAAGAAAGGTTTATTTGGGCTCACAGTTTCAGAGGTTTCTGTCCAGGGTCACTTGGCTGCCGTTGCCTTTGGACCTCTAGTGAAGCAGCACATCATGGCAGGAGTACATGGCAGAGAACAATGCCCATGTCATGCCAATCAGGAAGTCGGGGGAGGGAGGTAGTGCAGGGAGAAAAGAAGAGGCTAGTCCCAATTTTTCCTTCAAGAATATGTCTACCAATGACCTGACTTTCTTCTCCTAGGTCCCACCTCCAGAAGGTTCCACCATCTCCTAGCCCTGCCACAGGCTGGTGACCTTTGACACATAGATTTTTGGGAGACATTTCAGATCCTAACTATAGCAGAACCTAAATTTGGAACCTTTGTCTAGAGTGAGTCCTAGTTATTGTCCCGAGTTTAGACAGGCCCTGTTGTTCACCCTTGGATCCTGCCTTCCTGCCCTGGCCTTTGAGCTGAGATCAATTATCTATATCCACATCTTAAAATATTTTTCAAGTCTTAAGTTGGCTTCTGTCAAAATTCCAGATTTTAAAATGCAAACTCCTTTTGGGCACAGATGAATTGACAAGGAAACAGTTTCAGATACTACATAAACTGAACAATTTTTAAACATACACTCTAAGTCCTGAGTCGAGGGACTTTTCAAAATCAAGGGGAAAATGAATGAGGCAACTGGAATGACAAGATGCACAGTTGATGTGCATGATCCTTACTATCTCCAAGCCTTCATCTCTCCTTCTATTCTTACCTTTTGTCATGTCAAGTGTGAGGGTATGTTCTCCTGCTTCACTGAAAGGCTTGATCATGTGATCAGGCCACTGGGATGTCAGTGGAGCTAGCACGGGACAGCCTGAATTAGAACTGCACACTTGGTTTTTACCAGTTCTAATTTCCCTGAGAACAAAAGCCCTGGGTCCTTCAAGGGGGATGAGCGATATCTGGATCTGAAATTAATTCCAGGTACATTTTGGAGCCAAGGTCAACCAAACACAGCCTAGATCGGTTGATTCCCAAGCAAGCCACAGGTGGCAAGAATAAACAATTGTTCTTTTAATCCAGTTTCAAGAGAGCACTGGGCCATGGGAGCTCAGGTCACAGGAGATGCGAGCTGTCCAACGTGGACTCTTAATCTGTAGCAATACAAATGTGTGAACTGTGGGCAACTCTCCAGACTATATTCCAGGCCTGTGAGGGCTGTGTGTGTGTCTGGCGTAGTCACCTGCAGTGGTGACGTAGACCACTGGGGCTCTCCAGCCTACCGTTTCCCCAGGAAAGAGATGTCCTTCTTGATTCTGAGCTGATACATGTGGGACAGGCAAGATAACTCTCTCTGCTCTCTATGCCTCTGTTCTAGGCTTTTCCACTCCAGCAGGTCTCCTCACCTTGCTGCTCTCCAGCATGCTTCCTCAGTCATGCCCCTCAGAAGATGGCTGTTTAATCTTTGTTGTGGTCCTTTTTTGTTGACTAGACAAATTTTAACAGGTGACTCTAGTAATCTCTCAGAAGTCACTCACCAAGGGACCAAATCATGTATCTCCCAAACTTAGTTTATTTGATAATAAAAGGGGTACTGTTAACACTATGCTGGGATAATAGGTATAAGGTAGGAACATTCTCAGCAAATTGGGAAGATTGGTTTCCCTACCAATAAATCTTGATTACAGAAGTGGGTAGATGAATATATATATATATATTTTTTTTTTTTTTTTTTTTAAGTGAGAATAATAACTGGAAACACCTGGGATTTTTCAAGATGGGGGAATAGAGAAGGTTGCTTTCCTGGCTGCTCCAAGGAGTGAAAACCGAAAGCTTCTCAGCAAGGTGGGTGAACAAAAAAAAGGTGGGGGGACTTTACTGGAATTTAAAACTGGACATTTAAAGCAGATCGGGGACTCAGGAGATTGGGTATAATAAAATAAGGAAGAAATCCCCAGCATCATGGCCACTGCCGTGGCCAGGCCAGAAGCACTAGCCAGAGTGGTCCCTCTGTGAGCAAAGTGCAGGGATAAGGGAATTAAAGGAATCTTCATTTTTAGGAAGCCTGAGGTGTGTCTGGGTATGGAGTATTTAAAGAACAAGGGCATTGCCCAACAAACTGAAAGACGTGCTGCACAATATCCTTCTGCAAGGAAGAAACCGCCGTCTCTCCAGGCAGAGTGTGGAGGACACAGGAAGGAACTATTTTGCAGCTGCAACCTGAGGCCAGCAGCTGAGGAAGCCAGTTCCTGGCAAACCTGAGTTTGGGCCAAAATATAGGCCCAGTAAACACACACTGCACAGCATAGAGTGTGCTTAAGTGACCAGGAGAAAATCAAGTGTCGAGAGAGGTTTACACAGGGGACAGCTGGTGGTGGAAACCCACTTGGCTCTACCCTTCCCCCTCCAAACTGCTGCTTGCAGGAATGGAAGGGAGAGATGCAGTCTGGGAACTGGGAAGGGTGGGGCGGGGGTGGGGGAGATTGAGTTTGGAGACTGAAAGCAGGACCAGGAAATGGGGGACCTTAGATGACCTCGGGGACTAAGAATTGGCTTCTCTAACAGTTGAGTGGAACCCAGGGGAGATCCCTGGAATACAATCTTCTAGCATGGACCAGAAATTACCAGGACCCGGAGGCACACTGATTTAAAAATCTCCAGACCCATTGGCATTTAGCACTTTTGATGGATATTTTTTTTCTCTTTTTTCTTTTCTGTTTAATTGTTACCTTAGTAACACATGGACATTTATACATACTCATATTTTCCCCCCTCTTTTCTAGCATTTCTGAAGCCATTTTTTATGGATCAGTTTTTTGAGGACTAGGATGTTTTAGCTTTGTTTTGAATTCTTTTATTTTTAATTTTTTAAAATAATTTTACTTTATATATTTTTTTCACTTACCTGTTTCCCTTGATTCTCTTTCTCTCTTTTCTTTCACTAACAGTCAATCTTTATTGTTCTCTCTTTCACTTTTCCTTTTTTACTTCTATCTTCTCTCCTTTTCATCGTAATCATTACATCCTGTATCATTTCTGTTATCCTCCTTCACCATTTGAAATTGTAAACCCTTTTGCAAACTTGCTAGTTTTATTGTAGGCAATAACTGATCACATCATTTCTATTTATTGTGAAGATTAACATTGTAGATGTCATAGTAGGAACTAGTTGGTTTAATGCAGTATATTATTTGCATTGGTTGTTATTATTTGTCTCCCCCTAAATGGTGAGGTATTGGAAATCTTCAGGGATACTACAAATCCACAGGCTAGAAACTCTACTACCTCAGATCCATACCACTAGATGGGTAGACACACAAATAACATGAAAAAGCAAGGGAACAAATCACCCCAAACAAACCAAGACACTTCAATAACAGAATCTAATGACACCGTGGTGAAGAAATGTCAGACTTGGAGAGCAGAACACAATCAAGGAGCTGGGAGAGACTGTTCTTGGTTGTGCAGCTTAGAAGGAGAACTTATGAGCAATATCCTCTTGGGCAGTGCAGTTAATTTCTCAGATCCTAAATTTCTCTTCTAGAAAGTAAAGCTCCCAGCAGCTAACTGGCTTTCTGAGAAAGCCTGAGGATGCACATGAGGCAAGAGTAAAACTTCTTACCCTTTCTTTAGGCCATCTGCCATTAGCACTCTAGCAGGAATGCTGTTAGGTTTGGCCAGGGAATGATAAAGAAGGACCTAGACATTTACCTGAAATGTCTTTGAGGGATACTTTCCTGTCATTCTGCCCACATAGATATACAACTAGCCTTCTTTCAACTACTTTGGTCCTTGTTCCTTTGTTTTCTTTTTTTTTAA